TATGTATATATGTATATATATACTTTTTTTTCTTTTTTTGCTAGGGACTCTGCACACGAATTGTCTCGGTTATCCCTCTTGGGTAAGGACCTTTTACTTCATTGACATGCGCTCACATTGTGCCGGCTCAAGGTCAGTGATCATTAAATGTTGAATTTAACTAGTAATAGACATTCTATTCATATTAATTTTTGTGCCTACTCACCTTTCTAAGGGAGCAGTTCACAAATTATAGGATGCATTAGAATTACTTGTGGTGCTTGTTTAAAATACAGGTTTCTAAACCTTATACACAAGAATTCTGATTCAGTAGGTCTGAAGAGGGACCCAATAATCTTCACTTATAACAAGCACTCCTAGATAATCCTGCTGTGGTCTCTAGGCCACAACTTGTAAAAACCAACTTTGAGGTATGTTATGTATTTTGAGGACACCTTCCGGCTGTTCATTTTCGCAAAAAATAAAAAGCAAGGGCTGGAGATTTATCTCAGTGGCACCATACCTGCCTGGCAAGCGCAAAGTCCTAGGTGAGAACCCCAGTACCAAAATAAATAAATAAAAATAAAAAATAATAATAAAACAATAAGCATTTAAAAATCCTCCTTAACCTCCTATCATATTTTGCTATTGTATTCAATTATAATTTAAATGTGTGTTATGGTAAATTGATAAGCAATCGTGCAAACATTTACACTAGGCACTGGGAAACAGAAAAGAATTGTAAGCATATTGCTCCCATAAAAAACAAGTCATACAGGCTGGACAAGGTGTGAACACATACTTGACCAAGAACAGTGCAGTACTATCCTACCGTATGTACATACGAAGAGCTAATGTTGGTTGAATAAAAGTTACTGTGAATAGCTCAGATTGTAATGTTATTGGAATTCAGTTGGAAAGAGAGGGAAATCTGCCTTCTTTTCATCATGAAAGATCCCATTTCTGATAGAGGCATTTTTGATAGAAGCAACTGAACATTGGTAGCTCTCACAGTGCCCCAAATGACCCGACTGTATAGCTAAAGTTGAAAACCATTGAAATAAAGGCAAGAAATATATTAAAAGGTTGTGACTAGGGACAGTGCCCATAGGTTATGGTTAAAGCTGCACCTCAGCCTGAGTAAATCAAAGTCATTAAGGGTGGGAGCCAGGCATCAGTCATCTTTCAAAGTCACCATGTTACTCTAACATGTAGAGAATCACTGCTTTAGTTCAACCCTCGGTGATCTTTGATCTTGGCTGCGTAATAGAGTCACACAAAGGACTTTTGAAGCACAATTTATTTCTTTAAAAATACCAGTCCCGCTTAGACTTAATAAAACAAAATGCTTGAAAGTAAAGCCAAGCAATGACAATGTACCCACCTCCACTGTAGGCAACCCGGCCTAGAGGAACGGTGAGCAAAGCACCTTTTCCTCTAATTTCACTGAAGACAGTTTCTCATTATACAAACCTCTATTTTCTATAAAATCTGAGATTTTGAGAGCACTTCATGGATGTTATAAACATCTCATTAAGTATCAGTTGAAACATACCTAAGAAACTGAACAAAGAAATGGCCTCAGTAGTGTAATGGCTGCATATATCCTGTATCTACTTTATATATGTAAATACATATCTATATAATATAATAATACTAATTACCTGGGATGTTGTTAAAATGCACATTTGTATTTACTATGCCTGAAGTGTGCCTGACATTCTACATTTCTAACAAGCAATATTGATGCACCTAAACTGTGGACCACACTTTGAAAAGATGGAAACCTGCAAGCTAGTTCTCTCTGGAAACTTCTCCATCTTTTCGCTCTCATCGATTCAGAGAACCTCAGGCCACAAAGATGCCTTTGTGCTCCTCATTCCCCTTATCCTACAGTCATGCTCAGAGAAACAAACATATTTCTCCCTCTTTCATTTTAACATCAAATATCTTTAAAGAGCAATCTATATTCGCAGTTTTCTTTTAAATCTCCAATCAAGTTCTTAAACTACTCTGATCAAAGCCAGATTATCAAAAGCAGTCTCTCGAGAGCCTAATGACTTTTAATTGTCAAAATCTTCCACCACAATCTCATTTTCCTTGATATCGCAGTGGTTTCTGACAGTTAAAGCCCCATATTTCTTGACCTTCTTAGGCCTCTGTACCTAAAGCATGAATCTTCTGTTTCTTTCCTTCTCTTTTCTGTTTCCTTGCAAAAGCTGAAAGTTCCTCTGATCCCTGAGCTCTTCTCTCAAAAGTCCACCATTTTCGTCTTCTTATTGCCCTGAATACTTTCATCAGAGATTTCATCCCTGACTTCTACCATTAAATCTACGGCTGTGAGCCTGTGTTTGTGTGTATGTGCAGTTCTAATCTCTCTCGTGTCCTAAATCAAAATTTCCAACTGCCTTGGCATTTATACTAATATTTCCCTGGAAAACCTTCTCCATCAGTACGAATGCATTTTTCACCATCTACGCTCCCTTATGTGCTTTTCTTTCTATTAAGAATGTTATCCACCATGTCATCTCTTTAAGCAAAACTCTGAAAGATTTTCAGTCTTCCTCTCCTTCCCACCGCACATTAATGTGCTCTTTACATCCGGCCAATTCCACTTTGCAATTGTGTCTATACAGTCTTCTTTTCATTCATATCATTCATATCCTATAAAGGTCTCCTAACATCTGTGTACCTTCAGCCTCTCCCTTCTTCAGCCTGTTCTTCACGCTGCCTCCACACTGCATCCTAAAATAACCCACACCCATCACATAGCACTGCTTATTATTCCAACTAGTCAATATTATATATTAAAAAGCCATCCCCTAATGTAACAGTTTCAAAGCAAAAATATTTGTTTTCTCTCTTACAGCTCTGTGTTTGCTCATCTCAGCTCAGCACACAGCTGGTGTTCCCCACTGGGCGTTCTCCTGCAGGTGTGGTCAGACATTGAAGCTTTACTTAGGTTGATACCTGAGATGACTGGGACAGCTCCACGATAATCAGATTCCCATGGTTCTGACAAAATACCTGAAAATGAAAGCTTTAAGGAGGAAAGGCTTATTTTGGCTCATGGTTTCAAAGGTTTTAGTCCAAGGTCAGCTGATTCCATGGCTTTGGGTCTGAGACGTGACAGAACATGGTGGCAGTGGGAGCGGGGGAAGCAGAGACTTCTCTTCTGACGGCAGCGAGGAAATAGAGATTGGGAGGAGGGAAGGGGGCAGCAGAGGGAGGGAGAGAAAAGGACAGAGAGAGGCACAGAGGGAGAACTTTCTGGAGCCTTCCTGTAAGGACACTACTGAGCTCACTGGGGTGAATGCCTAAGGGTGTCTCATTTGCTGAGTGAGTACTTCAGGAACAAGAAGAGAGCACAACATACATAGGAAGAGAAGCCCTGCTTCTCCTCCCTGGAGCCAGGTTCGCTACAGAGCCCTACCCTATACCACTTGGCATAGGAGCAATGCCCACAGGATCCAGCTCCAGCTGCCCAAGGAAGACCATGAAGGGTGCATCTGGTTGAGAGGCTGTAAATCGACAAGCGAAGCATCAGTATTTTTTCAGGAGTCCTGTTAACTTCAACATTTTAATTGTTTCACCAGAAAGCCAGGGTTATGTAGGATAGGATAGCTTCATTTCCCAGAGTTTATTTTCTTCTTTTTTCCCTGAGTTCAAAATTCAAATATCTTTAAATCAATAGTGACCTCCCCAAAGCCCTCTCTTACTTGTAAGGAGGGACCTATTGGTTTGGGAATGTTCATCATCTTTGCCTAGAATTGTCAACAGGAAAAACTGTCAAGGTTGTTTTAAAATTCAGTTTTACTTCAAGTTCTGACCACTCAGACATATTTTGAATCAATTCTAAAATCTCCTTACCGAGTTGTTGACAAAAAATTGAGTCAGATGACTCCTGTGGGATGCTGCTTGATAACTCTCAGGTTGACAGTCTTACGGAGATCTGTCGTTTGATTTTTTAAAGACCTGTTTTCTATATCTATCATACTAGGATGATTCCTCATCTCTATATCACATAAATCTTGAGGTCTTGGAGCTGTGCACAGGAGAAGCATCCTATAAATATATTTAAGGCATTATTTATAAAGTCAAAATAATCTTGTTGCTTGTTTCATAGGTCATATTCAAGCAATGCCCCAGTGTATTGTTAGATTTATGTACTTTACTTTCTCAAGGGCATTATTCAGATACATTTTTTTTTTCAGATTGCTGTATTTAAGGATCATAAGGTTTGGCTAAGAAGGAACCCATTTTAATCAGAACGCTAGCCTCTCAGGGAAAGAACTTTATCTTATTATCCTTAGTGACTTCTGTTTTATTTTCTCTATCTACCAACTTATTCTAGGTACCTCGTGTAAGTGGAATCACACAGTATTCTTTTGT